CATCACCTGCCTGCAGTCCTCTTCGTCACACTCGGTACGTGGGGAGAAGGGTGGAGGGTGCACCGGGTATTCCTCCTCATTGTCTATATCCAATGATGTAGCCATTCCAATGATGGGATTAGTCTCTCGGAGGTCATGGAGCAACTGCAGGGCCACACTATGCTTCAGCCTTGCCAGGACCTGATGTGCCTCATCTCGGGAGAACTCAGGGTGGTCATGAGTGACATGACGGTGCAGTTTCTTCCCAGCATACGAACACCCTGTGATGGGACAGGGTTTGGTCCGAACATTTATTCTGCCACTGGCCATTTTAAGAATGATGCCTCTTTCCTCCAAGTTCCGCACTGCATGTTTGTGCTTAAGGTGCTTGTTCAAAGCCAGATAGAAGAGTATGCACACCGGGCATTCGGACGACATCCTTACTAAAACAGACACAGTTAATTGTATTTAAATTCTGTTGTGTTTATCCGTTTATATGCGTTAGCGTAACCGGTAATTGCAACAACATTTTGATGCTTCAATGCCTGGTACACGGACCAAAGGAGGACTTGGGTTACCACCGGGTTAAATGGTCCCACCTCCGCACCAACGCGGAGCTGGTGATGGCAACATTGGGTCCGATGCATCAATTCATGGTGGCCCGACCATGAGAGGGTTTGTGGTGCCCCGGAACCAGGCAGTACCCCAGCAGGAAACACGTTTTATGGTCAAAGGAGGAAAGAGTGATAGAACCGGGGTAAAGCAAAGAAAGTGTCCGAAAATAGTGACTTGTAACCCGGGTAGAGAGTATGTCATCTCTCGGTCCTATCCTCCAGACAACATGGTAACGTGGGGACAACAGTACCGCCGGGCGCTCCATCCCGCTCCGGCATTCACCGCAGCGGGGGGAGGAGGCATTGAACCCCTCACATCTGCCCCCGGAGGAGGCAGGGGAGTCAGGTACCCGGAGGGCGCACGGTGGACGGCCAGGGCAAGGCAGCCACACCGCGCTGGAGTCAGAGTTCCGAGTGTTGGAGCCGGGTCCCGGTGAAACGCAGGACGGAGCACCCGGCAGGAGCCTCCAGCAGACCCCCCCGCGCGGTTCCCTCGTCCCTCGGAAGAGGCGGAGAGGTGGGTGTTTTTCATCTGCTGGCGGACTGCCGGGAGAACGCGCTGCTCGGGAGCCAGGCTCAGAGTGAGTGGCAGTGGGTGCCCGCGCACCTGCCTTTTACAGCGGGAGCACGAGCTGGTCTCGGGGAGGGAGAGAAGAGAGGAGCGGAGGCTGCCGAAACAGCCCTCCCTCAAACACACCCCTCAATTTTGACAAGACAAACAGCAAGAAGAGTCCCCTTTCGACTCCCCTTGCATTCCTCCAGAGACCAGTTTGGACTTAAAGTTAAGAACCAGGCTGGGGGGGTCTCCAGGCATCAGAGAACCAGAGAAAAGGGGTGAAAATGGAGAAATTGTATCCCAAAATAGTGTCTCTTAAGGCGGATAGAGTCCCCTGACAACTCCCATCACATTCCTCCAGAGTCAGAAAAAGTCTAAGTTAACTTTTGGAAGAACCAGAGAAAAGGGTGAACATTGATAAAATGTATCCGAAAATAGTGTCTCTTAAGGCGGATAGAGTCCCCTGACAACTCCCGTTACATTCCTCCAGAGTCAGAAAAAGACTAAGTTAACTTTTGGAAGAACCAGAGGAAGGGGTGAAAATGGATAAAATGTATCCGAAAATAGTGTCTCATTATTCCGTGCCAACTCCCCTTGAATTCATCCAGAGACCAGTTCAAAAACTTAAAGTTTGGTAAGAACCATGATTGGGGGTCCTCCAGGCAACAATTGTATCCGATCCAAAGTGCTCATGTAGCGGATGCATTCCTCCATGATTTCTCCATGATGGAAAATAGCCCGTTTTTTTCTAAGTGCTCTCAAAAACCGGGTTTCCGATTTCGTGCGGATGGTAGCTTGGAAAAGATGAATGAATTTTTTCGACGGAGGAAGGGAGGTCAGTATTGCCCTCTCCGTTGAAAAATGCAACGGGGTAATGCAAATGTCTCCGGGGCTTCCGCCGGAAGCGCCGAAGACTTGAGCTTTTTGCAGCCCCTCCTCCGTTGGCACTTAGCCGTTTTTTCGAGAATTTCGAAAATCATGCATACTTCCATAACCTCGCACACCGTGAGACCCCGGACCCCCGGACTTAAGCACTCCCGAACGGACTAAACCCAGATGTTCACACCCTCCAGAACCTCATGCCCCTGGTGACACTTAAAGGTGGTGGATTTTGCGGTGCTTTACTGTCCGCCCACCAGCATCCATATTCGGCCTTATTCACAGCAGCACCACCCACCCTCCTGTGGAGGATGTTCTCATGGCCTTGGTAACACTTAAAGGAGGTGGATTTTGTGGTGCTTTATCGTCCGCACACCAGCATCAATATTCGGCCTTATTCACAGCAGCACCACCCACCCTCCTGTGGAGGATGTTCTCATGGCCCTGGTAACACTTAAAGGAGGTGGATTTTGTGGTGCTTTACTGTCCGCACACCAGCATCAATATTCGGCCTTATTCAAAGCAGCACCACCCACCCTCCTGTGGAAGATGTTCTCATGGCCCTGGTAACACTTAAAGGAGGTGGATTTTGTCGTGCTTTACTGTCCGCACACCAGCATCAATATTCGGCCTTATTCACAGCAGCACCACCCACCCTCCTGTGGAGGATGTTCTCATGGCCCTGGTAACACTTAAAGGAGGTGGATTTTGTCGTGCTTTACTGTCCGCACACCAGCATCAATATTCGGCCTTATTCACAGCAGCACCACCCACCCTCCTGTGGAGGATGTTCTCATGGCCCTGGTAACACTTAAAGGTAATGGCTTTTGTGGTGCTTTACTGTCCAAACACCAGCATCAATATTCGGCCTTATTAACAGCACCACCTGCCCTGCTGGAGGTTCACACTTTAACTTTTTTTTTTACCCTCCTCTGCCTTACACATCCTCCCACACTTGAGCACTCCTCACTCGGACTGAACCCCTCCATGCACACCCAGACTGCACCCAGAGAACAGGCTGCTTCACAGCACTTTGCAAGCCAGCAAAAGTGATTGAATCCTGGGTATACATGTTTTAAATAGTCTGATACCTCCAGGGCGCATCACCACATTTTACAAGCCAGGAAGGTGCCTGAATCCTGGGTGAACATTGTTTAATTGTTTAAGTGTTTTTAAATGTGTGAAAACAGTGTTTTGTCACTTTCAAAACTCTCCCGTCATTGCCCGGAGAAATTGGGTCGATGTTGTATTCAATCTGACCGTTAATATTCCAGTGAGACGAAGTACGTACAATGACCGGAGTTATCCCATGTTAATTTTGTTCCAATACCGGAGCATTCCTTCACCCAATTTAGAGACAATGGACGTCCACTCTCGGGAGACGTCTGACAGTGGTGCGGTTACCCAAAGTGACAGACCTAATTTTACCTCTATTTAGAGGCAATGGACGTACAACACAAAGCTAAATGGCTTAACAGCGTTAGCATAAGTAGTCAAACATGTAAATATCACACATTTTCTTAAAAATATTGTTACATCTACTTGGTTTTAAATTCATTAGCAACCAGGAGTTGGATAAACACCAGATACTACAAAAGGAGTTGGTCCAAATCTCCAAAGTGAGCAAACCTATTCTAATGACTTCCAGCAGTTAAAAAGCTTCTAACATGATTCTACTTATTGAACTGCTCCCTGAGAGGAAGAAACTAATAACACAACTGAACTCTCCTTTCTGCTCAAAATGGATCAATCAATAAACAACTCAGCGTTGGCCGGTTGATAAGGCCATGTTGCCAGTTTCTAATAAGTACAATGGGGATAGCTAAGATCAAAGTCACAAATCCCCCATTCTTTACATTTTCTATATAAATGTTTTCTTAAGCAGCTTTTATGGATAAAGGTTTGTAGCAAAGTTGGGAGAGGAGGAATCCTGTTGATCCACCGAAGTCCTTCATTCCTCCCCATCCCACGTGCAACGACAGCTAGATATCGCTGCCTTATCCTGAGCAGAGATATTCAAAGCTCTTGGCTTTTATCTTTGTATATTTAATTCTACCTCCGTACAGAAAACCAATAAACCCATATTTAAAATCTAAAATCGGATCATTCTTGAATTAGATTTTGCTGATATGGTTTTTGGACTCCAGCAACAAAATCAGAAGAAAGGCATTTGTGTTCCTTTTTTCAGTTTTTGTGTTTTTGGGGATTTGTTTCTTGTGTTAAAAGAGAAACACGTACACGGACCCATATCGCACATGTTCACCAAAGGGTTCAAATGACAGCAACAGAAACAGCTACTGATCTCTACGTTTAGCTTCTGATTGAACTGTTTTTTAGCTCTACTGAATCATATGCTTCATGTTTCAGGTCCTATCAGTTTATAGATGTGGGGGAGATGTTATACTTGATTAGAAGAAGTGATACCACAGTGTAGAAATACTGGAACAAGAACAAGTCTGGTATTGAAATGCACTTAGGTCAAAGTATTAGGATCAATTAATGCTTAAAGTACCATCATTAATACGACTCGTACAGTACGACTATTTCCATCATGATATATTATAGTCTGGATTCTAATCAATGATCCATTCATGTGAACATCACTTTGAATGTAGCAGCTGGTAAAGCTGGAGATCACTTGAATGACTTGTTATACTTCCAGGTATCTTTATCCATAACAGAACTTCATCATTAAAGTGTTGTTTTATTAATAATATGAACCTGCCAAGTAACCTCAAACTCATGTTGTGAATACATGTGATGTAGTATTAGAAAACCATATACTCCAGTGAAGTCATTCAAACCTGTTCTTAGTACTTGAGTATATGTACTTTATTACTTCCCACCACTGGTTTATAGAGAGCTGGAGTTAATGATCTGATTATCACTCGGAAGTATTCATAGTATAAATGATTCATGATTAAAATATGCTGATATCAATGAAGGAACATCTCTCTCTTGTTTCTCTGCAGAGCCTGGTGTTAGGCTGGTGGGAGGAGAGAGTCGCTGTGCAGGAGCTCTGGAGCTGGAACATCAGGGAGAATGGAGACCAGTGGGGAGCTATAACTCTCTCTGGACCCTGAAGGCAGCAGGAGTCGTCTGCAGAGAGCTCGACTGTGGCTCTGCTGTTTCTGTGGGACGGAGAGAGGAGTCCTCAAAGAGAGATGTGTGGGGGATCAACTATAACTGTGTTGAGTCTGGATCTGCTCTGAGGGAGTGTGCAGCATCAAGTTACTCTCCCTACTTCCTGAATCTCACCTGCTCAGGTAAACCCATCAGTGACATCATCAGTGACATCATCTGTGACATCATCAGTGACATCATCAGTGACATCATGAATGACATTTTCATTTATTGTTTTCATTTTCTTGTTTTTACAAATTAAAAACACACAAACCCAGATATCAAATGATGAACAGTGGACGGAGCAGCCGGGCGTAGTGGGTGGGCTACTGGGTCTGTAGGCCCACCCACTCATTAATCAACAATGACTGAGAGAAAATATAGTTTACCGGATTTCTATTTTTGATTATCAAAATGAAAAATTAAATAATAAAATAATAGCAAAAATAAGTTTCCCTTTAAAAAATGCATCCAATTAGAAACATCATTTATTCACGTAATCAGGCTTCTGTTGTGTGAGATGTTCTATCCAATCACAACAGGCCAGCGTCAAATGGCCTGCTGTGATTGGCCTACAGCTCACATCGTCGCAGCGCGGCGCCAACACAACGTAGGACGTCCCGCAGACCCCGCAGAGGAAGGAGGAACATATAGCACTCATTTACAGAGTCACAAGAATCCATGTTCAGAGTTTAGAAAGAGTGAGAGGGGAGAGGCCAGAGCCAGCATCCTCACAGCAGGGGCCGTCTCACTCCACATTCTGCCTCTCTGCTTGCTGTGTCCCTAACATGTATCAATGTGAACCAAAAGAGATGAACAAGCAGTTTTACATTTCATTCCACTCCTTGCAGCCTGGAGCACGGCTGATATGAAGAGTCCTGAAACCCACCGGGTTATTTGGAGCCTCCTCCTCTGGAATGATACCATTCACCATTTCATGGAAAACACCAGACCAAAATACAAACAGCTTGAATTCAATGATGACGCCATGTTTGAAGAACAACGTGTTTACACACATCAGTCAGATCACACATGTGAAACACACATGTGAGAGTAGAGAGTGAAACCTTTTGAAGTGTGTGTGTGAGAGCAGAGGTGGAGCTGAGCAGAAGGAGCAGAGGGTCTGCAGAGGAGGAGGTTCTGTTGAAGACACAGGGGAAGGGTTCACTCATGGAGACCACTTGCTAGAGGCTATCAGGTGTAGATGTGAGGGTACCTGCAGTCTGTGCTCTTATCAACATGTGTTCTTTGTTCATCATCAACTCATGTTGGAACTGAGTCCAGTTTGAATCTGAAATATAGTTTCATCTCTTTGATGGTGTGTCTTTGACCTCTGTTTGATCTTCTGTCCTCTGCAGACTCTGTCAGGCTGCTGGGGGGGACTGCTCTGTGCTCAGGCAGACTGGAGGTGAACTCTGACCCGTCTGACCCGTCCTGGTCCTCAGTGTGTGAGGCTGACTTTGACCAGCAGGATGCTCAGGTGGTCTGCCGGCAGCTGGGCTGTGGGGCTCCTTCAGTCCTCCAGGGGGCGCTCTATGGAGAAGGGGAGGCTCCAATGGGGACCAAAGAGTTCCAGTGTGGAGGCCATGAGTCTGCTCTCCTGGACTGTAGCTCAGCCTCAGAGAGAAGCACCTGCTCACCTGGCACAGCTGTTAGCCTCACCTGCTCAGGTAGAGAGGAGCTGTGATTGGTTCATTCTGTTCTCATCAAACTCACTTTATTCTCTCTCTGATCTCTCTCTTGTTTCTCTGCAGAGCCTGGTGGTGTTCAGCTGGTGGGAGGAGAGAGTCGCTGTGCAGGAGCTCTGGAGCTGGAACATCAGGGAGAATGGAGACCAGTGGAGGACTACTCTCTCTGGACCCTGAAGGCAGCAGGAGTCGTCTGCAGAGAGCTCGACTGTGGCTCTGCTGTTTCTGTGGGACTGAGAGTGGAGTCCTCACAGAGAGATGTGTGGGTGATCAGATCTCTCTGTGTTGAGTCTGGATCTGCTCTGAGGGAGTGTGCAGGATCACTTTCCTCTAACTCCTTCCTGAATCTCACCTGCTCAGGTAAACCCATCAGTGACAGCATCTAAAACAGTCGTTTTCATCAACCACAGTTCATGGGGGTTAACCCAGATTAAAACGTGTCTGTAAATCCAGACATGATATAAACGTCACTGAACATTCCTCTGGTAGCAGAGTGACGTCTCGTTTAGTATCCATCACAATCTGAATGAAAGTCCGTTTGATATTCATGTGGCAGAAGCTGTGTTTGTTCATCACGGGTGATCAGGTGGAATCAATACATACACAAGGTTTAGAGTCAGAACATACGTCATATTTAATATGAGAGAGACTTTATATTTAACATCCTTTCTTTAGGACACAGTGTTTACAGTTCCCACTGACAGCTGAATGTATGTTTGTGTCAGGGTTTCCGTTAGCCGGTAATTACCGTTTTTGAGCTGGTAAAATGTAATAAAAACCGGTAAATTCAAAACTTGCCGGTCAAAATGAGGGTCCTGCAGTGCCACTGCTCACAGCAGCTCACTAACATGAGTCTCTGTCTGTCTGTCTGTCTGTCTGTCTGTCTGTCTGTCTGTCTGTCTGTCTGTCTGTCTGTCTGTCTGTCTGTCTCTGTCTGTCTGTGTGTCTGTGTGTCTGTGTGTCTCTCTCTCTCTCTCTCTCTCTCTCCTCTCTCTCTCTCTCTCTCTCTCTCTCTCCTCTCTCTCTCTCTCTCTCCTCTCTCCTCTCTCTCTCTCTCTCTCCAGATAAGCTGTTGCAGCCCAACATCTCTGTGTCTTCCTCCATGTACGGGGTCTCCGGGGCCCAGCAGCAGGGGTTCCAGGTGTTCAGAGGCTCCACCTTCAGCATCAGTTGCTCCATCCAGCCTCAGTACCCAGGAGGCTCCTTCCTGCTCAGCTCCTCCACTCACAACTACACCCAGCCAGCTGTCAATCACTCTGCCCACTTCCTGTTCCCGGCTGCAGAGCCCGCCCACCAGGGAAACTACAGCTGTGTTTATCACGTCTCTGCTTCTCCTCAGGACTCCTCCTCTGAGAGCCGCCTGCTCTCCGTCACCGTCACAGGTGAGCTGTTAGAGTTTACTGTAGGACAGAGCGTGATGCTCCCCAGGAGAACGCTGGTGAGTGTTTTACTGTGAGCCCTGAAGCAGTCACACCCTTACATCACATGTAGCTTTCCAGAGCAACGTACAATAAGTGCAATGAACCGTGAAGACATGAATCCAGAACACACATTCTCCAGTCAGCTGTAGTTTACATTGGAGTATTGCCATGAGTACTGACTGTTCAACAGATACAGCTAGCAGCTTCTCCCTACAGTCCTACTGTCTGGTATGAACAGGAGAAAGGCTTGGGGTTGAATGAAGATCTTAAGAAGATGTCGTTTATTGTAATATAACTGTAGAGAGGAGTCTCCATGCTGAAGTGGGTTCAGGTCTCTGTGTGTTTGCTGACTCTTGATGTGATGCTGTCCAGGTGTTCCATCAGATCCAGAACCTTTTATCATCCGAGCCGTCGTCCTGCTGCTGACTCAGCTGCTGGTGCTGCTGGTGACCATCGGACTTTACTTCTACTGCAAGGTACGGAAACATGTTGTTGTTCCACTGACTGAATGATGAGGGACTGAAACATGTTGTTGTTGTTCCACTGACTGAATGATGAGGGACTGAAACATGTTGTTGTTCCACTGACTGAATGATGAGGGACTGAAACATGTTGTTGCTGTTCCACTGACTGAATGATGAGGGACTGAAACATGTTGTTTGTTCACTGACTGAATGATGAGGGATGAAACATGTTGTTGTTGTTCCACTGACTGAATGATGAGGGTACTGAAACATGTTGTTGTCTAGTTCCTACTGACTGAATGGATTGAGGTACGGAAACATGTGTTGTCTGTTCCACTGACTGAATGATGAGGTGACGGAACATGTGTTGTTGTTCCACTGACTGAATGATGAGGTACTGAAACATGTTGTTGTTGTTCCACTGACTGAATGATGAGGTACGGAAACATGTTGTTGTTGTTCCACTGACTGAATGATGAGGGACTGAAACATGTTGTTGTTGTTCCACTGACTGAATGATGAGGTACGGAAACATGTTGTTGTTGTTCCACTGACTGAATGATGAGGTACTGAAACATGTTGTTGTTGTTCCACTGACTGAATGATGAGGTACTGAAACATGTTGTTGTTGTTCCACTGACTGAATGATGAGGGACTGAAACATGTTGTTGTTGTTCCACTGACTGAATGATGAGGTACTGAAACATGTTGTTGTTGTTCCACTGACTGAATGATGAGGGACTGAAACATGTTGTTGTTGTTCCACTGACTGAATGATGAGGGACTGAAACATGTTGTTGTTCCACTGACTGAATGATGAGGGACTGAAACATGTTGTTGTTGTTCCACTGACTGAATGATGAGGGACTGAAACATTGTTGTTGTTCCACTGACTGAATGATGAGGTACTGAAACATGTTGTTGTTCCACTGACTGAATGATGAGGGACTGAAACATGTTGTTGTTCCACTGACTGAATGATGAGGGACTGAAACATGTTGTTGTTGTTCCACTGACTGAATGATGAGGGACTGAAACATGTTGTTGTTCCACTGACTGAATGATGAGGGACTGAAACATGTTGTTGTGTTCCACTGACTAAATGATGAGGGACTGAAACATGTTGTTGTTCACACTGACTGAATGATGAGGGACTGAAAACATGTTGTTGTTGTCCACTGACTGAATGATGAGGTACTGAAACATGTTGTTGTTCCACTGACTGAATGATGAGGACTGAAAATGTTGTTGTTCCACTGACTGAATGATGAGGTACTGAAAACATGTTGTTGTTTCCACTGACTGAATGATGAGGGAACTGAAACATGTTGGTTGTTCCACTGACTGAATGATGAGGGACTGAAACATGTTGTTGTTCCACTGACTGAATGATGAGGGACTGAAACATGGTTTGTTGTTCCACTGACTGAATGATGAGGGACTGAAACATGTTGTTGTTTCCCACTGACTGAATGATGCAGGGACTGAAACATGTTGTTGTTCCACTGACTGAATGATGAGGGACTGAAACATGTTGTTGTTCACTGACAGAATGATGAGGTGACTGAATGATGAGGGACTGAAACATGTTGTTGTTCCACTGACTGAATGATGAGGGACTGAAACATGTTGTTGTTCCACTGACTGAATGATGAGGGACTGAAACATGTTGTTGTTCCACTGACTGAATGATGAGGGACTGAAACATGTTGTTGTTCCACTGACTGAATGATGAGGGACTGAAACATGTTGTTGTTCCACTGACTGAATGATGAGGGACTGAAACATGTTGTTGTTCCACTGACTGAATGATGAGGGGCTGAAACATGTTGTTGTTCCACTGACTGAATGATGACCTTCCTGATGAATGAGGGACTGAAACATGTTGTTGTTCCACTGACTGAATGATGAGGACTGAAACATGTTGTTGTTCCACTGACTGAATGATGAGTGACTGAAACATGTTGTTGTTCCACTGACTGAATGATGAGGGACTGAAACATGTTGTTGTTCCACTGACTGAATGATGAGGGACTGAAACATGTTGTTGTTCCACTGACTGAATGATGAGGGACTGAAACATGTTGTTGTTCCACTGACTGAATGATGAGGGACTGAAACATGTTGTTGTTCCACTGACTGAATGATGAGGGACTGAAACATGTTGTTGTTCCACTGACTGAATGATGAGGACTGAAACATGTTGTTGTTCCACTGACTGAATGATGAGGGACTGAAACATGTTGTTGTTCCACTGACTGAATGATGAGGGACTGAAACATGTTGTTGTTCCACTGACTGAATGATGAGGGACTGAAACATGTTGTTGTTCCACTGACTGAATGATGAGGGACTGAAACATGTTGTTGTTCCACTGACTGAATGATGGGGGACTGAAACATGTTGTTGTTCCACTGACTGAATGATGAGGGACTGAAACATGTTGTTGTTCCACTGACTGAATGATGAGGGACTGAAACATGTTGTTCCACTGACTGAATGAAACAGTGTGTGTTATTGAACAGGAGTGATGCAGGAAGTCTCACTGTGTGCTGTCATGTCTCTCCAGGCCACCAGGGGGCGGAGGCTGAGCCGACAGGAGGACATTGAGCTGGATTATGATGACCTGGGTGTTCCTGCTGAAGAGGAAGGAGCTCAGGGAGCAGAGTAGCAGCTCCAAGGAGCTCCTCTCACACACACGGGTTTATCAGCTCTTATAGCTTTTAACCAACGTTAGAAAATATAGCTTTTACTCTGAACGTCACCAGCAATGTGTTAGTGCCTCATGTTTCCTGACTTCCTGTCAGCTCCAAGCCCATTGGTTCCCACTGAAGATGAAGATCTTTAAAAAACATCACAAGTTAGTTTTATTTAGAAAAGTCAATGCAGTCGGTGCAGTTTGAAAGCAGACACACCAACCCAGGCCGCTCAGGAACTAAGTCGGCCAATTAATGCCATATATTAATGTTCACATATCCTCTAGAAACAGTGTTACAAAACCCAGTGTTTGAATCTAATGTAGTGATTCCTGAGATAACAGGAGGAGCGCGTTACAGCGCCACCTAGTGTTGCATTTGTAGACCTCGAGCACAACAAGGTTTTTTTATATTCAATCAACAAATGAGACAAAGTACAGATTTTAAAATGTTACGTTTTTCTCAACAATTCATCTGCTCAGCGAGATAGGATATTTGATCCCCTTGTGGGTCACATGGGTCATTTCAGCAGCAGGACCAGATGTAGCTGAACAATATCCAGATAGGAATTGAACAAAAGTAAATAGTCCACACACTTCTTATTTCACAATGCTGATGTGTTTTTATTGACAGAAGAATGTTGCTTGATTTTGGTCTGAAGAGATTGTTTGTATAAAAATAGCTTTTTTAGAGAAATCCGATTATATTTGTAATTTTGCCAAAAAGTATAAGATTTTAACTTTTCTTTAATGTTCTTATTTCACATGTTCTGAGCTCAGTTTGTAATCATTTTCAATCATTCAGGATTTCTCTTACGTTATATCATGTTTTATGGTATTGTCTGTATGTTGTAGTAATTGAGCTGTTTTTCAGAACTCCACCTTTTGGAGAGCATTCCCACATTCAGAAGATATTAAATACGAACATGTTGTAATTAAAAATGTACTTCATTTTGTAGAAGTTTCCTTTTTGAAAGGTCATGTGCTTTGTTGTGTGATCAAGATGTGCTTGTTTTTGTATTATTGAGGATTGAACTTATTTCACAAGATGATCAATAATATGTAATCATTACTTTTTGGACTTTTATGAAACATTTGAATTCCTTTAGAATTTCACTTTTTACAAAGAACTCAGATTATTTTTGTGATTTAGGATTTTCCCAAATTCAGGAGACTAATTATTTCGTACTTAAAATGTTAACATTGTCCGTAAACAAGTGTTGTGATTTTGGAACCGAGAAATGTTTTTGCTTCATAAGAATTTTGAGTGATTTTGTTGTTTTTTGCTTTTCTGAAGAATTTAGCTTTCGCCTATTAAGGTTTTTTGATGTGGCTTTTTTTAACAAATGTTGTATTTGAAGATTTGTCATGATTTTGCTTAAATCTTGCATCACAAATTCTACTTGATTTTATCATGAAGAGTTTTGACCCATTTGGTTCCCATGAGTTACGATGAAGCAAATCGTCTTGAATTCTGAACACAGCAGAATCCTCCAGAAACCATGAGATGTTCAACATCACTGTAATAAATGCTGTCATTTGCTATGTACCAAAAAAATAATAAAACTTCTTTAAAATCCATGAAACTCTGAGAGTGAGCTGATTTCAAAAGTGTTTCTCCTGGTTGGAACATGATGTGTTTGCTTTGATTCTGAGAACTGAACCTCAAGGCTTTAGTTCTCACAGGTTAGTATAGTAACAGCACCGGCTCCTGGCCCACCAGACCGATCTGCAAACAACAACATGGAGGAACTAGAGAATGCAATTCCTGAAGAAATTGCTAGTGGGAATGCTTTATGCTGAAAAGCTGACTCTAAACTGCTATGCTGAAATGTAATGTGTAAGAAGAAAGTGAAGATAGATTGTAATGATACGTGAACACTGGGGGCTTGAATGTGTGATGAGAGAAGAAAGTAAAAAGGCTTGGAAAAGCAGCAGAATATTTGAACTGCAAACTTTTGAACTAACTTGATGGCGAATGATCTGTCGCCATGCCAACGGCATTTGATGACATCCCATAATACGCTTAGATGCGTTGATGGCTGCATCGTTACCAAACCTGTGAAGTTCTGGGCTGTTTGGAGTATTTTCACTGAAGTTATGAGAAAACCGTGTTTCAAGGCGAGCATTGTGTTGCCATGGCAACGGCATTTGAAGAAATCTCCAAACTGTCCCGTAGATGTCTTCACGGCTGGACTGTCAGCACACTGCTATCTGAAGTCTGCTGCTCTGAGCATGTCAGTTGGAGTGAAGACATCATCGTGTTCCATTACACAGATGTTTATATTTGAACTAACGAGCTCTGTAGAGATCACAGGGTTCCATTGTTCTGAATGAGAGATGAACCTCTTACATGTGAACGTTTTGTGGAAGAACCGTAACAGATATCTGTGAAATTTCAAAACGTGAAGCATGTCAAGGAAGTTGAGTATCTGAAGTGTAATTTTTGTGTACTTTCGGGTTAATAATGTGGCCTTTTTGGCAGTTTAACTAAAGGTGTGCGGCTGCTACCATGAGGAGATATCAGCCTGAAATTACAATGGACTTCAATGGAGGAATGTTGAACGTTTTTGTCACTTCATGCCCTCAAGAGCCATTTTGTTTAATTATTTTTTGCTTAATTATTTGTCATTTTTCAAGCTACGAGATGTTTTCCTACGTTTGTCATGAAAAAGTATGTCTCAGGAATGTAGGGTTTGGGAATTATGGCAGTTTAAAAAAAAAATGCATATTTCAAAATGTTCTACCCTTAGCTGTGACATCACGCACTCTAGTTAGTGTTAAAATCTGAAGAACACCTCTATAACAAGGTCTGAACAATGTTTAATATCTCTAAAAGTAAGAATCAGATTTAAAAGTTGCTCTACACGAATAATGTCAGAAAGATTTGTAACATTTTAAAGTTGGAATGAGGTTTCTGAGTGAAAGTATGAATGAAAAGTTAGCAGTTGAAGTCGCATGAAGATTTGTTGAAGTCTGAAGATTTCCTCCATTGACTTCCATGTTAAAAATGTGATGAATTATGAGATGTATCTCTGGAATTATGAAAGTTATGAATGAGAAAAGTAATAGCCATCGATTCCCGACCGAGCTGAACGTTTTGATGTTTGAACGGAGTTTCTGCGATGTTCAATGTGGGAGGAGAAGAGGGGCGGAATCCCGGCGGAATAATAATAAACTTTTTGTCTGTAGGATAACAGATAGTGGGAATGAGCACTAAATTATCTACTATTTACTATTTTTTGAAAAGAACATCCATAACCAGAGATGGCAAAAATACACACATAATTTACTCAAGTAGAAGTACAGATACTCGTGTTTAAAAATACTCTGGTAAAAGTAGAAGTACTGACTAAACTTCTGCACTCAAGTAAAAGTAAAGAAGTTTGGGCTTTATGATACTTTTAATCTGAAAAACATGCCTCTTCCTCTGAGGATACAGTAGCTCTATGCAGCTTTTATTTTGAAAAACATGCCTGTAAAAGTAGAAGTACTCAGATCTTGTACTGGAGTAAAAGTACAAGTACTCAGATCTTGTACTTGAGTAAAAGTAGAAATACTCAGGTCTTGTACTTGAGTAGAAGTACTCAGATCTTGTACTTGAGTAAAAGTAGAAGTACTCCGATCTTGTACTTGAGTAAAAGTAGAAGTACTCAGATCTTGTTCTTGAGTAAAAGTAGAAGTACTCAGATCTTGTACTTGAGTAAAAGTAGAAGTACTCAGATCTTGTACTGTAGTAAAAGTAGAAGTACTCAGATCTTGTACTGTAGTAAAAGTAGAAGTACTCAGATCTTGTACTTGAGTAAAAGTAGAAGTACTCAGATCATGTACTTCAGTAAAAGTAGAAGTACTCATATCTTGTACTTGAGTAAAAGTAGAAGTACTCATATCTTGTACTTGAGTAAAAGTAGAAGTACTCCGGTCTTGTACTTGAGTAAAAGTAGAAGTACTCAGATCTTGTGTTTGAGTAAAAGTAGAAGTACTCAGATCTTGTACTTGAGTAAAAGTAGAAGTACTCAGATCTTGTGTTTGAGTAAAAGTAGAAGTACTCAGATCATGTACTTGAGTAAAAGTAGAAGTACCAGAGTGTAGGAATACTCTGTTCCAGTAAAAGTCCTGCATTCAAAATGTTCCTCAAGTGAAAGTAGAAAAGTATTATCATCAAAATATAGTGAAAGTAGCTACAGTAAAAGTATTCGTTGTGCAGATTGGTCCATTTCAGAATAATATATATGATATGTTTTATAATGATTGATCATGAAAGTGTTCTCAAAGCTGGTGAAGGTGCAGCTAGTTTGAATGACTTTGTATACTGCAGGGTAGCTGGTGGATTTACTCCAGGTGGAACTAAAGTCTGATTCAACACTTGATTAGATTTTGGAATATGTTAATCAGTTCTATAAATCATTCCAAAATGTTTGAACGACATTAAAGAAAATATGTTTTAATATTTCAGCTCCAAAGACTAAGCAGTACTTGCCAGAAACACACGGGGGCGCTGTCGATTTGTTTTTTTTGTACAGTTAATTTCAGAGGTGTAAAGTAACTAAGTAAAAGCTGCCATCTCACCAAGAAAAGGCACTAAATACTACAAATCGAGACACTAAATACTACAAAGAGACACTACATGCCTACGAAGAGACAAAAGCAAATGCAAGTACACACAAAGAGACACTAATATACTAGAAAGAGACACTAATTTGCTTCAAACAGACAAAAAAACAAATACAAGTACACACAAAGAAACTCTAAATCACTATTAATAATGACATTTTATTTAAACGATGTCTTTAGTTTCAACCATATTTCGCGACTGTAGGTAAACGGCGCCGTGTCCGACAGCCCGTGAACGCACCGCCGTGGCGCTACTTCCGGTGAGTGGAGCTCAGTCAGCTGTCACTGGATCTGAAGCACAGAAACAAACAGGACGTGAAATGTCGAGTTTTAACGAAAGGTTCAGTTCCTACACGATGAGCCAACTCAACGAAGTCCTGGAGGACGACGAGAAGCTCAGCGACATGGTGCAGGACATGGAGGAGGTTCGTGTTTCATCTCTCTTTGTTGGGTCTCACACACACACACACACACACACACACACACACACACACACACACACACACACACACACACACACACACACACACACACACACACGGAAATGGCTGCTTCGGTTTACATTGAGGGTGAGATTAACTGAGAGGATGTGTGTGATGAGAGCAATGTAACATGTGTGAGACATCGTTAACCTTGGGACGATACAAAGACACACTATGAAGAGACACTACATTACTATAAAAGGGACAGCAATTGAATACCAAGAGACAAAACCAGAGACTAATAATCACAAATCTGCTACAAGAAGGTGTACAATGACCACAAATAGAGACAAAATGATACAGTCACTAAATACGACAAAGAAACACTAAATTACAAAAAAATACACTAAATACTACCAAAAGACAGAAAATTACTATGAACACACGCCAACATACTACAAAAAGACACTTCATGCTAGAACAAAACACGACATACTACAAAAAGACACAAAATTAGTTTAAACAGACACAACATTACCACAAATAGACACTAAACACTAAAAATAGACACTGAACACTACAAAGAAACACTAGATGACTACAAAGAGACACTAGGTGACTACAAAGAGACACTAGATGACTACAAAGAGACACTAGATGACTACAAAGAGACACTAGATGACTACAAAGAGACACTAGATGACTACAAAGAGACACTCGATGACTACAAAGAGACACTAGGTGACTACAAAGAGACACTAGATGACTACAAAGAGACACTCGATGACTACAAAGAGACACTAGGTGACTACAAAGAGACACTAGGTGACTACAAAGAGACACTAGATGACTACAAAGAGACACTAGATTACTACAAAGAGACACTAGATTACTACAAAGAGACACTAGATGACTACAAAGAGACACTAGATGACTACAAAGAGACACTAGGTCACTACAAAGAGACACTCGATGACTACAAAGAGACACTAGATGACTACAGAGAGACACTAGATGACTACAAAGAGACACTAGGTAACTACAAAGAGACACTCATACAGAGAGACACTAGGTGACTATAAAGAGACACTAGGTTACTACAAAGAGACACTAGGTGACTACAAAGAGACACTCATACAGAGAGACACTAGGTGACTATAAAGAGACACTAGGTGACTACAAAGAGACACTAGATGACTACAGAGAGACACTAGATGACTACAGAGAGACACTAGATGACTACAGAGAGACACTAGGTGACTACAAAGAGACACTAGATGACTACAGAGAGACACTAGATGACTACAAAGAGACACTAGATGACTACAAAGAGACACTAGGTGATTACAAAGAGACACTAGGTGATTACAGAGAGACACTAGATGACTACAGAGAGACACTAGGTGACTACAGAGAGACACTAGGTGACTACAGAGAGACACTAGGTGACTACAGAAAGACACTAGATGACTACAAAGAGACACTAGGTGACTACAAAGAGACACTAGGTGACTACAGAGAGACACTAGGTGACTACAAAGAGACACTAGATGACTACAAAGAGACACTAGGTGACTACAAAGAGACACTAGGTGACTACAAAGAGACACTAGATGACTACAAAGAGACACTCGATGACTACAAAGAGACACTAGATGACTACAAAGAGACACTAGATGACTACAAAGAGACACTAGATGACTACAAAGAGACACTAGATGTCTACAAAGAGACACTAGATGACTACAAAGAGACACTAGGTGACTACAAAGAGACACTAGATGACTACAAAGAGACACTCGATGACTACAAAGAGACACTAGATGACTACAGAGAGACACTAGATGACTACAAAGAGACACTAGATGACTACAAAGAGACACTAGATGACTACAAAGAGACACTAGGTGACTACAGAGAGACACTAGGTGACTACAAAGAGACACTAGATGACTACAGAGAGACACTAGATGACTACAGAGAGACACTAGGTGACTACAAAGAGACACTAGATGACTACAAAGAGACACTAGGAGAGAGACACTAGGTGACTACAGAGAGACACTAGATGACTACAAAGAGACACTAGGTGACTACAAAGAGACACTAGATGACTACAAAGAGACACTAGGTGACTACAAAGAGACACTAGGTGACTACAAAGAGACACTAGGTGACTACAGAGAGACACTAGGTGACTACAAAGAGACACTAGATGACTACAGAGAGACACTAGGTGACTACAGAGAGACACTAGGTGACTACAGAGAGACACTAGATGACTACAGAGAGACACTAGGTGACTACAGAGAGACACTAGGTGACTACAGAGAGACACTAGGTGACTACAGAGAGACACTAGGTGACTACAGAGAGACACTAGGTGACTACAAAGAGACACTAGATGACTACAAAGAGACACTAGATGACTACAAAGAGACACTAGATGACTACAAAGAGACACTAGGTGACTACAAAGAGACACTAGGTGACTACAAAGAGACACTAGATGACTACAAAGAGACACTAGGTGACTACAAAGAGACACTAGGTGACTACAAAGAGACACTAGGTGACTACAGAGAGACACTAGGTGACTACAAAGAGACACTAGGTGACTACAGAGAGACACTAGGTGACTACAGAGAGACACTAGGTGACTACAAAGAGACACTAGATGACTACAGAGAGACACTAGGTGACTACAGAGAGACACTAGATGACTACAAAGAGACACTAGGTGACTACAAAGAGACACTAGATGACTACAGAGAGACACTAGATGACTACAAAGAGACACTAGGTGACTACAGAGAGACACTAGGTGACTACAGAGAGACACTAGATGACTACAGAGAGACACTAGATGACTACAGAGAGACACTAGGTGACTACAAAGAGACACTAGGTGACTACAAAGAGACACTAGATGACTACAAAGAGACACTAGGTGACTACAGAGAGACACTAGATGACTACAGAGAGACACTAGATGACTACAGAGAGACACTAGGTGACTACAGAGAGACACTAGGTGACTACAAAGAGACACTAGATGACTACAAAGAGACACTAAAAGACTCTAAAAAAGACAATAATTTACTACAAACAGTCAAAAATGAATACAAATAATCACAAAATAACAGATAAATAAACTAAAGAAAGCTCAATCTGACCACAAAGTGTCACTAAATTACTAAAACGATATTCAAAATGATTACAAAGAGACAGAAATGAAACACGAAGACACAGGATGTCACAAAGACCCTCAAAGACTACAAAGCTTGTTTTTATTCAGTATTTCCGTCTTTACAAAACTGCTTTTTAAAGGGCTTTATGAATGCTGGGTCATTTTGAGAAAGTATTGACATTGTAAGCTTCGGCCTAAATTCAACCTCACGATAAACTCAAATTGAGACCGTCGAGCGATACAGAGGAAAACATAACTTAACGCTGTTATCTGTGGATATGAAATATTAACCAGGAATCACAAGTATTACTCGTGTGTGTATAACTACGGTGATGCTAGTCTCATGCATTGCGTTCTTGCAAAGCGCTTGCACAGTTGTATTTTTGAGCCCACAGACTGATGGAGCATTGTTTTATTATCACTGTTCAAGCAAAGTGATTTTTTTATTTGTTTGAAAGGAATGCTCACGTTCATATTGATGTATTTTAATAAATGTTAACTTGGTCCATTACGTGACTATTTGTGTTGGGGGGGCCCGACTTTTTTTTTTTTTCCAAAGGCCTGACAGAAAAAGTTTGAGAACCACGGCCCTAACCCGTGATGTTGTTCGTGTTTGATCCCTCTTTCATTTAAAAAACAAGTTATGTTTTAAGCTTGAAAGCTGTAGGCCTATAGCTGTCAACGGTTCAAACTGTGAACACCAGTTAAATACATTTGACAACTTCGACTTGGTTTCGATACTTATTTGAACATGTATTTATTTATTTATTTTAATTAAAAACATGTTGTTTCTTTTTGTAAACATTTCCCCCCCAAAAATGTTTTTTATAGGATATGTACATTTTGGTTAACCGTTTTTTTGGGGGTCGAATATACATTTGTTTTCAAATTCCCATCCCTAATTTAAACCTTTATTAACTAACAGTATAGTTACTAGGAGTAATCAGTCTTTAAGGCAGTTTAACAACACCTCTATTCCACATAACACTTATATTCCAGGGTTCTTACGGTCATTAAAAACCTGGAAAAGTCATGGAAATTCAAAATGCTCATTCCAGGCCCTGGAAAAGTTATGGAAAGCAATATTTTTCCCAAAGTCATGGAAAATTAACTAAAGTTGCATCAAATATAATTTATATTTTATCTAATCGCCTAAATAGTAATACTATAATGATGATACATACTGTGTCGTATAGTAATGAAACGTAAAATGGCATTTAACTGGTGAGAGATGTGAGTTGCTTTAGCGTGTAGAAGCTATTAAGCCTATTGGATTTGTGTTAGGCACAACATGTTTCAGATGCAGACCTTATTTTCCTGTTCCATGTTAAAATAAACCATTTTCAGTGGTAACGCTGAGAAAGAGTACTTTTTGTTGGTCATGGAAAATTAGGTAAAGGTCCTGGAGAAGTCATTGACAATCCTTTGTGAAAAAGTGTATGAACCCTGTTATTCATCTTTTTACTTTTGTGTCTGTGAAATCCAAAGGCCAATGAAATAGGGCCGTACCTCCATATATCTGAGGCAGTTTACTACATTAATTGACATTTTAATGGCCTTCCTCAAGTAGCCCAGGGACTTTCCACTGAATGTGTACCCGCTGCCCCACTTTGCACTCTATCACAACTCTCTCCTTGTCCTGATAAGCTGCTGATAAGCTTCAGTGTTTCCAGAGTCTCAGCCTCAGTTAAAGGGTTTAATATTAGTCATATCGAGAGGAAATGCTATCGTGTGTGCAAACTAGGGATGGGAATTTGAAAGTAAATGTATATTCAAATATTCGACCCCCAAAAAAACGGCTAACCGATTAACC